TACCGATACATTTAAAATTTGGCACAAAATAATTAGAATTCAAAAATTTTAGACTATATCAAATAAAATCTAACTTCTCAAATTCAATACAGTTTTAACTGATAATCAAAATATAACGGTTGAAAATTAAAATCTTATTCTTCATAAGTGTCTTAACTATGTAATGATTACTCTCATCATCTTAGCCAAGGGTCAAGAAATCCTTGATGGTGTTACTCAACAGGTCCAGAAATAGTACAATAATAATCCAGATATTCTCATGAATTTAATAATATCAACGCACGTCCCAATTAAAACCCCTTTGAACATCTTCAAAGGGTCTAGACAAAACCCCATTGAACGTCTCCAAGGGATCCAGATAAAACCCACCTGAATGCCTCCGGTTGGTCCAGACAAATATCAAGGGTCTATAATCCATAATTATATCAATGATCTCTTTGAATTTCCTCCACGTGGGTCAGACAGAATTTCCCAATGGCTAGAGGTGTTTATTTACATCCTTAACAGTGATCTTCGTAGAAAATTTTTAAATCAACAGATGTCAGTAGAAATCTTTTCTAAAACTATTTTATAATTTTTTATTTTAAAATATCTTTAAATAGTCCTTCCTATTGAAATATTTCAAGAATCTTTAATGAAATTCTAATACTCTACTTTTATGAATTATATCAATATACTTCTTTAAAAAATTGTACTTATGACTATAGTCTCATGTTTGCCTAATATGTAGTGCAAATGTACTCACGTCTCAAACTTTTATCCATAACCGATTAATGAGTACAAAGATCTTACATTGCAGTCTTAATGTGTTACAGCACTAGCTAAAAATAATTACTCTCCTATAAACACAAGGTAAGATAGTAACGAATTTCACTTCTTCAGGGACTTAAATGAACAAATGTGCAACATAAGTTACATTTACCTTGAACGAGACCTTAGTCAAATAGTTTAGCATGGAACTCTTGGATTTTCTTATATGCTAGTTTCAGAGCTAATCTTTTATAGGTGATAACTAGTTGATATCTCTTTTCTTCTTGAATGTATTAGATCCAAATTACTTATTGGTTTTTGATGTATTTTTCTCTAACATCATTTTAGAAATGAAAGTATTGAATGACTTTAAGCTCTATTGCGTATGAATTAATTTAACAAATATGCGAACCTTGCATCACAATAATTTATAACATGCTTCCCTTCTTCTTTAATCAAATTATCATTCTGAATGGAATAAATCAATAGTAACTTAGCTTCATATGTCAAGTAACTATTATTACATTCAAACTAGAGTCTAGAAAGAGGACGAAATTACTTACCTGAATCTACAATTTTTAATCTGCACCCTTCTCTCTCTGTCCTTCTCCTGCTGTCTTAAAATTTAGATAAATCCCCTTTTTTCCACAATATTTCCAATTACTTCTTTCACTATCTATGTTTATCCCCATATATGGTTAACAGCCGAAGTTCCCTGTGACTCTACCACTGGAGATTGGTAATTGGATATATATTTTGCATATTTATCTAGTGTTTGCAATATAATGAACACCTGGCCCCCCTTTGACAACTAACCCTCCCTTTTATTGTCACCTAAACCTTGTAGGGCACCTCATTCTATAATCCTTTCACACTTTGATGCTTGGTAAGGAAAATAACTGTTTCTCCCATTTTCTTTTTAGTTGATTCATTATTTATGATAGAGTCTAACCTCTTGTATATAGAATAACCAATAATGTTAAAAATATGAGTCCAACCTCTTGTATATAGAATAACCAATAATGTTAAAAATATGTCATACTTATTGAACCATACGTGAATGTTCAAGACAATATAAATAGATTAAAAAAACTCATTTCCTTATAAGTAAAAGCAATTCTAATTACACTCTCAACACTAGAAAATTGGTGTTAAATAGTAGAGATATTACAAAAATAGATATTTTTGAAAAATAAAGATCAACAATGCTAAGGTTAATGATCCAATAGAGAAAATGAAAATGGGAAGAGGCCTAGGACCTAACGACATTCCAACTAAATTTTAGAATGTATAAGGGTGTATTTGGCAACCAATCCAACATTAGGCCACAACCAGCTCTTACCCTGTTAAAACAAAATTAGTTTTATTTTGAACCAATGAGGGGTGGTCCAAACCAAAATGCATTTAAAGGTCAAATTTGGTCTTAGAAAAACTGGGCAACCTTAGCCTAGTTTTACCCAAATAGATTATCTTCTCAAAATGAGGTCAGGTTTGAACCTGGGCCCATTTTTGAAGAGTTGTTAAACACACCCTTAGAGATACGGATTAGGATGGTTGACTTTGCAAAACCCTTTTAAACTTGGGCCAAGGATTAATATTGGCCGCAATTTTATGCTGAACTAAATTAAAAGCTTTCCATCTAAGCAGTTTGGAAAAGAACTCATTTCGAGTAAATTTTTAGCTTAAAAAATGGACCATTTCTAATCATGTTTTAGCCAAACACCAAACAACCAAATACTAGGCTATGAACAAACATGACCCAGTTGTAAAGAATTGCAAACACACTCTTAGAATAGAACAAACGCTCTCTTTATTGATTAATCACGAATACATGAGTACACTAATTTATAGATGACAAAAGCTCTAATATAGAAAGTCTTAACAATAGGTAGAGAATAAGAAACCATATGTACTACCAGATATAGATAGACGCATTATCAACAATGTTGAAAAAAAGTGGTAAAAAGCGCTACCTAAGCGGTTTTTAAAGTGGAAGCACCTCTTCGCTTTCACAGCTTTCACTGGTATTAAGCACTTTTAGGAAAAAAAATGAATCACGGTAAATAACCCTTTCGTACCTGACCTGACCCACAGGCTTTTAAAATTTAAACCTTCTTTCTCCTTGTCGATTTTCTCCTCTATTTTCCAAAACCAAAGAAAGCCTACATCCCAAGATATCCACCTCCAGCCTCCTCCGTCCACCTAGTCCATCTCCACAAGTCATATTCTCTAGGGGAGACACATTTTCTCCACCTCTTCTTCTCCATTGAAGCTCACCACAAATTCATGTGAAGTTCTCTCCTCGCTAAAGCCTCCTAGATAAGTCCGCCTCTAGCAAAATCATCACCACGTGGACCCAAAAACACCTTAGACCGCCAAAACCATCTCCACCTCCAACAAACTTTGCTTTCAGTAAATTCTCCACGCGAAACGTGAGCTCCCTTGATGTTGGAAGCAATAGCGTCGAGCAGCACGTATGTTTTCAATTTTTACCTCTTTTTCTACCTTTCTTCTCCCTTCAAATACATTCAATATACTGTGTGGGTGCTCTTCTTTGAGTTTGAACTTGATTTTTTTTAACTTTAATTCATATTTAAAATTTTAATAGGATTTGGACTGCTTTTTCCTTGGACGCATTGAACCCCTTAAGCCCACTGTTTTAAAAAGTCTTCGCCTAGGTCTAGACAGTATGTAGGCCGCCTAACTAACGCCTAACGTTTAGGTGGTACCTAGGCTACCCATATAGGTTTTGGGAGTGTTTAGAGGAGTATTGTCTACTTACATGGACTGTATTCTTTAGACCTTGATCGTGATTTTCTGTATTGCAACCTCCACACCTACAAACTCCTTCAAACTTCTTTAACATTTAAATATGAACACCTCCACTATCTTCTCAAACCTTCAGCAAAACCTTCTCGATCACCACTTAAACGAAGAAACAAATCTGCCTAGACACCAATTTGACACCTAAACTTTCTATAACATTAGCATTTACTATCAATTATTGTAATTAAAAAAAACCTCCTAGGCTCTAGGAGACAAGTCCAACGCTTAGGCCTCCTAGCGCTTTCTATAACTTTATTAGTTATTATTTTGGCTATTTAGCATTTCAAGTATGCATTGTTTATTGTGGATCTAAGATTGTTATATTTTTTTATAAATTTATATAAATTTAATACATGTTTTTATTAATTATTATATTTAAATAATTTTAGAAATAGCCTAACATCTAGGCGCCGCCTAGGCATGCGCCTAGACATACACTTAAGCGTCTAGGCTTTAGGCGTTGGCTCAAGCGCCTAGTCCGCCTAGCGCTTTCTGTAACATTGCTTAAGCCCCCAAAAGCCTATACAGTGCCTCACCGCTTCACTCCATTTTCCGCTTCTACAACCTTGACTACCAATAACAAGAGATATGGAATAAATGATATTCGTATTCTACCATATTTATCATATACCCCATTATATTCAACACACAATATGGAACTTTGAGAAAGGACAATTAAGAAAGAAGACGTGTATTGAAAACAAATGGCATTATGCAAGGGAGGTAAACTACGAAAGCTAGTTTTAGATTAAGATGTTTGACTGAGAGATAAAGAGAAGAGAATGATCTACATATAATTTATATTGATCTTTAAAGAATTTAGAAGACAATGAACTACATCTGACTTTCATTCATATATAAAGAATTTAGAAGATAATGATCTACATATTAATTTTGATTGATCTATAAAGAATTTATAATTATTAATTAAGCAAAACAAAACTAAATTCATAAAATGTAATTTTTAGTAAAGCGAGAATATGATATGTAATTTTTAGTAAAGCGAGAATAGAAACCAACGTAAAATAGATACTGATGGTCAAACAATACCTAAAAGTAATTATTTTTCCAATTTAGGATCAATCATTTGTAACGGCATTGAGATTGAGGATGATGTGCAAGATAAGAAGAAAAATAATATGTCAAAATGAAACAAATGGAATAGCTTGGAGCAGATCATAATGACCAGTGCCATGAGGGATGACAGACAAGTGGATTGTTACTTAGCCATATCCTGTGTCTCACTTCATTTGGGAAAGAATCTGTCTACTATATGTTTTAGCATTAACATATTTAGCAGGGAGGATATGTGATTCACTAACTTGATCATGACATGGAGTATCTTATCCAAGGACATACTATAAATAAATTGAAACAGAAGTTCAGTCTATTTTCTTCTAGTCTGCATGGGTCAAGTTTAGCACCTTTTTCTCGTTGCCGAGCCTCTTTGATTAAAATATTTCTCCACTTATCTTTGAGATCACCAGGCTGACGAGTTGCTCGAAATTTATGTCTAATCTTACTCCAAATATTTGCCCATGGAATATTTCCATTGTCCAGAGAGATTTTTTGCATTGCATCCTGCATTAGAACCAGATTTATTGCTAGAATTACAAATACCAAGAGTTAAAGACATCAAGTGATGCACACTTTCAATTTATTTACAATGAACAGCAATAAATCTTAAAATTATTCTCAAAGCTAAAATTTCACAGCTAAGAAAGAATGCCTTCTTTTCACTTTCTCTACAATGAATAGCAATAAATCTTAAAATTATTCTCAAAACTATAATTTCACGGCTAAGAAAGAATGCCTTTTTTTCAGTGTATTAGTGAAACAGTAAGTAGTTAGTAAACCTAAGATGAAAGAAAAGCATATCTCCAACTCACTTTACCAATCAAAAGAAATTTGAAGATGACAATTTAGTTTGTCAAACGGTCTATATAACATCTCTAAGGAAATAACTAGGAACGAGTTAAGACTGACCTTTAAAGCTTTTTCCTCCTCTGGTGTCCAATACTTTCTGGTTCGCTTATTGTTCAGCCTATACAAATCAGACATAAGAATGTTTATCTTTTGTCGAAAGGACACATACTTAAGATGCTGCTAAGAATCTTTAAGCACAGATGCAAATAAAAACAGAAGCAAGAAAGAAAAACATAAAAGATCTAACAGGGAAAAAGTTTCCAAACAAAAGGAAAAGAGTATTCTTCTCCTTTGGAACTCTATATTTCCCAACTTCAACAGTTAAAAGATGCCAAAGGAAAAACTCACGACTAAAGGAAAGACCTCAAGCAGCTAAATGGAGAGGAAACGTGAATTTAAAAAATATGACATTGCCTAAAAAGTAAACTGAAAGAAAATGAGCTCTATATCTTTTCCTAGAGAAAAGAATGTTCAAATTAAAAGATGAAAAGAACATTTCATTGGCCTAGTAATGCCTCTTACTGGTCAAGGACAACACAACTAGTGTCATGCCTAATATCCAATGCAGAATACTTACTCGTTGTTGAACTCATTTTGACCGTTGGTATCATCGCAAAAGGGTGGATCACCAGAATCTTTGGCATGCTGGTTCTGTGCGCTAACAGTATGCAATCTTTTTCTCAGCGAATACCTCTCACTGGCTTGTGGTGACACAATCACTGCTTTCTCAGTTGAACTGCTGGTCTCTGGTTCAACAATTTTTGTAGCTTGCTCCTGCTTTTTTTGGTTTTGTATTTCAGAAATTTTATCAGGAGGAACAGGTAAGCTTTTCGTATTGACTTGGGACAGAGCATGTGCTTCTACAATTCTGGATCGTTCGTCTTTCTCACATGTTAAATTAACATTATCAGGAAGAACATCATCCATCATATTATTAATCTGCATTTTTAGCTTTCTCTTTGCACATTTCCTGGCAGTAAGAGAACATATTTCCTTCATGGGATGCAAATTGTTAATATTTTGTTCAATGCTCTCTTCTAAGTTATCTTGATTTTCCTTATTTTGTATTACTGAACAGGTTTCAACCAAATTTGCTTGAGAAATATCCTGTATTTCTTTAACGCCAGATGTTTTAATCATTTCACGTGCTAAATAGCTTTCATCCAACGTTGATTTAGCTTCTGCTATTTGCCTGCCTTTCGCACTCTGATAACCTTCTCTTGTGTCCTTAAGACTTGATGCACTGCGGTGCTTGATAAGCTCAGTACTTTGAAAACCATTGACTGCTCTGCTTTTTACTTCCGTAAGAGGCATTACTTGTAGAGGAGGAATATTGTTATCCACATGAACGGGATTACAAGACGGTCTTCTATTATCAGGAACTGCAACTGCATGATTTTGTCGTTGCAGTTGCCTTTCCGTAATGCACTCACAGTCATCAACTGACATTTCATTGTGTAATGCCCCTGTGCTATTGGGAAGTTCAGTCCTCTTGATATACTGAGATGTCTCTGTGGTTCCTGGTACATCAGAAATTCTGTGATGAATAATAGGTTCCACTCGTTTGGAATTCTTTTGATGTCTTTTATTCTTACCGTGACACCTTATATTTTCATCCATTCTTACTTGGCATGATTCTCTTTCAATTGAAAGACGTGATACTAGTTCTTTACTATGCCTCATCCAATCTTTATCAATATAACTTGCAAGGACTCTCAACGCATGAGAATATTTTTGTTCCGCTTTGTGATAAGCATGAACAGCTTTTTTGTATGAACATAAGGGACAATAGAAATCACCTTTTTCATCAAAATCAACTGATGAATCGATGCATTTATCATGAATTCCTAGCAAGCAATCGCTTCCACTGCAAACTAACAGTGAGCCTCCTTCATCACACTTCAAACATGAGCCAGTTTCTATTCTATCACTATTCGAATTTAATTTGCCACCGTTAGCAGCCTCCGCAGCTGCTAGTAATACTGTGAGTCCACCATTACAATGTGATGACTGTTGGCCAAGTCCAGGTCCATGTACTTGCAATAATTCCTTGCTAATGCTAGCAAATGGAGGAACACCAATATGCTTCTGCAACTGAACTTCTTCACTGTTCCGCTGATTGGACTGTTGCCAAAATGCACAAGTATCTTCTAGCAGGATTTCCTTCCCACCATCGGCAGACGGGGTAGAAGAAACATGTTTCACAAGCTGAAGTTCTTTGTCATATACATAATCAGGATCTGCAGAAATCTGGTTCGGTAACTCGAGTTCTTTTGCATTGACCTGTTCCGCAGATCCAGAAGGATCTCCTGGCAAGACCTTGTAGCTATTATCAGTGTCCATGGAAGGTGAAATTTGGTTTTGTAACTCATCTTCCTCCTGAATGTTTAACTTCCTCTTCTTTGCTTTTCCACCCTCTACGCCTCCGTGAGATATCTGATCAGCTCCAGTCATCAAAGTTTTTGCCTTTGAAAATGCAACAATTTGACCGCCTTTGCCAGCTGTGTCCTTCAGCTGAATATGAGAATTGATGAGATTATGTTAGCTGGATATGTTTTGTACCACTTTTTGCTTTACAAGATAAGTAGATATTTTCACATACTAGGTCAACATAATGTTTCGGTGCAGTAGCTCTTTTCCTAAAAACAAATTGGCCAAGATCATGCTTGAACAGCTCTGCTCCACCCTTAACTTGGTCACTTTCAGGTGCTTCCTACAACAATATGTAAAGTAGTTGAATACTACTTTTCTGCTAATAAAACTAAACTTCAAAAACAATTCAAATCAGAAACATTTGTGATAATAACTAGTTTAATAGTCATAGTTTTAGATTAAGGATTGGGTATTCGTGTCAGATCCTCAGGCACAAAAATCGACAAAGAAGTAGTTAGTTGTTGACTATCACATCTATAATAGTGTATCTATCATCAACATATTCAAAATTTTCCTATAAAAACTGATATGTCCAAGGTCATATATCATGTGGTTTCAGATTTATAATTAAGAAACTACATGAAAGAATATCTCTTTTGTAGTTATATCTCTTCATACACTGTACTTCACATTCTCACAATATTTAAAACCCAAATGTAATGATTCAGCCCTTCCAGCTTTCAGAACGTGCAACAAGGAGTATATTAGAGAACATGCACAAAAAAGATGAAAACGAATAAGACAGTACACAATGAAGCATAGATACACACGTCATGTTATACATATCATACTATGTGACGAGTCTCGCTACCGTCAAACAAGGCATCTTATCTTTTCCACAACCGATACTCAACATTGACTTAATAAGCCAATGCGTTATTAAACGTCTTTCCTACATCTAAAAGATAGTGAAATCGTGATAGCTCAGCAACTTTGCGAAAGGGGCGTCTGTATTGGAACACAAACAATAAAAACAACATTGTACTTGGCTTGTAAACTTACTAATGAATAAGAAAAAATTCAAGAGCATGAAATTTCAGTTTTCTACCACTATACTCACTATTACAAATAGCGGTCAAGTTTTATTCAGTTGTCGCAGCAATAGAACTAAAATCAAAAGTAGCAAGGGGGAAAAAAGCCACCTTGTTCACAATAAGCAAAGGGACTTGCTCCGAAACAGCCGAGGTCGTTGGCACTTTACAAAACAAAACAAAGCAAGAATATTAGTGATAAATCAAACAAAAAAAAAGAGGGGGGGATGGAGAAAAGAGGTGGGTTAGGGTTCGTCCTCGTTCTTACCGTGGCCGAGCAGAGACGAGTCGTTGTTGAGGGTTAGGGAGTCGAGAACCCAACTCCATGCGAGGGAACTCGACGCCTTGGGCTCGGAATTGGGAGAGAAGATGGAGGAAAGAGCGAAGGGTGGATCCAAATCCATTGGAATTTTAGGGTTTATAGAGATTAGGGTTTAATGAAAGAAGAGGGAAAGGGCAAATTAAAAAATGGCATGGAAAGTGATGGAGTGAAGAAAGATGGGGGCTTTTGTGTTTCGGTTTTGATTTTTGAGAGACAGATTGTGGAGCTTCTTCTTCTTCTCCCTCTTTCGGTTATTTTTGGCTCTTAGTCCCTTGCATCTTTCATATGTTGAAATTAGTCCCTATAATCATTAAAATTGCTATTATGTATAAGACCCCACGTCTTCTATATTTTATATTAGATCCCAAAATCTTTGTTTTTCAGAAAATGAACCCCAAATCCTTTATTTGGTTTATATAAAAAAAAACCTTTAGTTAGATTTAACATTAATTGCTAAATTTATTTATTAATGTTTGAGATTTTTATTTATGGACTATTATGTGCATACTCATTGAAATTGTTGCTGTGTCCCCAAATTCGTAAGCTATTTTAAAATTTGTCCACAATTCTCATATGTTGTTTCAATTAATCTCTCTAGTTGTTATTTCTACTCTTGATTGGAAGATCTAATATGAAACAACCTAAAAGGAGTGAGAGACCTAGTAGAAATTTCAATGATTTTAGATGACTTAGGGATTGAGGAACCTAATAATAATTTCAATGATCGAGGACTAATTTCAAATATTAAAGATGTAAAGGAGCATAATGGAAAACCCCTTTTTTCCTCGTTCTCATCTAAAAAGAGATTTAAGAATAACTTAATTTTACTATCTATACTTCTATATTTATACTACATATAAAAGATGTTTGGAAGGTTAAAACTTTTAAATTTCCCTTTTGGCCTCTTGATTTTTGATATTTCTTAATTATATCAATTATCTCTAATTAACTAACTAATCTAATACTATTTTAAAATAAATTTTCCAAACTGTCCTTCAAGTTTCATTCATAATCACCAAAAGGTCCTCATATGTCATTAAATATCAGTTTTAAAACTTCCATTGTTTTCACTAAAATTTTACTGTTAAATTTACTATTTAATTAATTTTAATAATTAATATTTATGAATATTAATTTTTTACTAGAGTAAAATCTAATCCAATACCAATCTATTCGTATACTAGATGTATATGCATAGATAAAATATAATTTACAACATAATACTATCCAAAATAGACATAAATGTTATTTAGATATAATACTATACATATTAAATTTCTCTGAAATATATGTTACATATTAAGATAATATTATTATATATTATTGTATAATTATAACATATTACCACTATTGAAATATTAAGATATATTCGATATAAAAGAATATTATTCTTATTAAAGAAACTCGGTGACATCCATCAAAAGTTTCAGAAACTTATGTCACATGTCTTTATATAACATTTAATTTAGCATTAATCAATACTAATTTAATATATGTCTTTGTATAACACAAAGTAACAACATGTGCCTTTTTGAGTCACATGCCTAAATATTTTCGTGTATAATGTTAATCATAAAAGAGACTTTTGAGAACCACGTTTAGCCTCTTCATCATTAATAAAGCCTCTTGGTCTCTTACAAGTGTCAAACCCATTAATCTGTAAGTGTCTTACCCCATGCCTTACTCTCCATCTTAAAAATCTCTCTACTTTCAAAAGTGAAACTCTAAACCACTTCTTTTTTCTTACAAGAGCTAGCATTTGGGCCTCTCTATAGCTCGACTTAGGTGATCTTCCTTTAACAAAGCCGAGTTTGCTTAGCCATGTATATTGACAAACATCAAGGAAAGTGTACGCTTCTTGTACTACTAAAAGATGATGCTACAATGCCGATCGTGCTTTCACAAGATCATCTTCCTCATTGTCACCAGCGAGTCGCACCTCAGCCTCTACTGTTGCGGGATTGTTCGGGCTATCACGTACCAGCGCGCCATCATTGCTCGACTCTATAGGATTTATAGGTGAATATGTCGACATTCTTTATGGGTTTTACGATGTTCTTGTGGCTTTTACAGTGCCAAGATATGGATATAGAGGCTGTTGCTATGCCTACGGATGCTACTACTGCTATGACAATTGAAAAATTATTATTGATTTGATGTAGGTTGTTTGTTTTGTGGGATATACATGATATTTAGTGGAGTGTTATTTAATAGAAATGACTTTGATTTCATTGGTAGTTTTCTACTAAATAGTAATTTATTTCCCTCTTGTCACCTCGCTAGAACTTTGTAGTCGATTAAGGAAATAATTTTGTAGCATAAAAAATCACTAAATTTCTTATAAGCAAAGAAATACCAAATTATTTCTATAAGTACAATTATTATTTCTTTTAATAAAATGTTGTGCATTATATGTGTTCATTTGTTGAATTAATAAGATCTTAATGAAACATCTAAGTGCATCAACATGGACTCATTAAAACATTAAAATTTTTAAATAGCACCAACATCATAGCTTTTTTAACACGCAACGCCCTACATTATCTATACTACTTATAAAAGAAATTTGAGATGTCAAATTTTTTATCGCCTCTTTTATCCTCTTAAATTTTGATAACTTCTATACTTAATCTAATCTAATTCCCATATGGTTTCATATAGTTTGATTGTATGGTTATTGAATCCTTCATTTGCATACATTGATCCTTCATATGAGAATGGATACAACAACATTATAATACAAAGTTTCATGCATTGCTAAAGATATTAAGCTACAAAAATTTTTACTATATCATACAAAAGTGGATCAGGTTAACGTTTTATTTTTTCCCACTAAACTGCCAAACTTTCTTCAAAGTTTGTCATTTAAAAAAACTGATCAGTAAATAGCCGTGACAGTCCTAAATAAAAAGTATGGTCTTTCTAAGATCCCATGATTGTCAACCCCGAATACTTACGAGACAGAATTTTTAACAAATGGCCAAATTTTTAAAAAGCTAATCAGTTTTTGTAAATAGTCAAATGGTCGAATTTATACAATTTGCTCTACAGTTCGGATTATGTGCCTACTGGATTTTTTTTCTTTATTATTCAATCAAGAAAAAATTATTTGCGTTTAAATGATTGCACTAAAGTGTAAAACAAAATACCTTAGGGAAATTTTTTAAAAAGATTGTTTTTGAAACTTTTCTAGCAAGATCAGTCTTTTGTGGATTTAATTAGCAAAATTAACATCTTTTGCTGATTTTACAAAAATATATAATTTTAAATACACGAAACTAGTAGTCTTATGTAATTAGTGTTGGTGATCACATGCTAATTAAACTTTAAAAAATATATGAGACTAATTAAACTTCATTAGGGTGTAATAAATATACGGGACTAGTAGTCCATATATTTTAAAGCTTCCTTTTTGCAAAATAGGTCGATTTTGCTAATGAAGTTTTGAAAAGAGTCTTTTTAAAAAAATCTCCAATAACTTATTAATGAAGTATTTCTAGAAAGATACTAAAACCGTACTTCAATAGCTTATTAATAAAATTCTCCAATAACTTATTAATAAAGTATTTCTAGAAAGATACTAAAACCGTACTTCAATTAGTATTAGGGTTTTTTCTATATTAGTCACCCAAACCTTTCATATTGTGAATTTGTCCCCCAAAATCTTCATATTTTGAAATTAATCCCGTAATTCCTTAGATATTTAGAAAATAATCCTCCAAATCTTCATATATTTTGAAATTAGTTTCCCAAATTATTTCAGCGTTCTGAGATTTGTCCTAGAAATCTTTCAACTTGGTGTTAGCTAGAGGGACTAAAATACTTAAATGATTTAGGGGGTTAATTTCAAAATATGAAGATTTGAGTAACTAATTTCAAATTACTTAAACATATGGGAATTTAATTTCAAAATATGAAGATTAGGGAACTAGTTCAAAATATGAAGGATTTGAGGGATTAATAAGAAGACCCTTAATTTTAATTTGTCATTATCAAAATAATCAACAAAAATAATCAATACTAAACTTGTTCCATCTAATTAAATGTTAATTGAGTATAATTAAAATGTGCGTTATGCCCACGCTCACACGAATTGATTTGGGTTTTTTATTTGTATATCTAATTTTTTTGGGAAAAATGTGTCCAGGCCCCAAAAATAGAAACTTCATATGCTGCAGCCCCTCCTAGTTTCCCCTATGTGATTCAGCCCCTTGAAGTGTGACATTTTGTGCTGCACCCTCTTTTTAACAATTATTACATGCCAACTAAGCTAAAATCCCCAAAATAACCTTATCCCCTCTCCTCAATCCTTCAAACCCAGTTCTCTCTCTCTCTCTCTCTCTCTCTCTCTCTCTCTCTCCTCTCTCTTTAAAAACAAGGGCTTTCTAAAGCTCGTCGCTCTGGCCCTCGCCCTCCTCGCCGTCGCCACCTCCGCCCAGGCTCCCAAGCCTCCCCCGAGTTCGCCGCCGCGGCCTCCCCTCCTCTCCTCCGCCCGACCTCGTCGCGGTAGTTCGCCGTCGCTCCCCATCTCGCCCTTTACTACGCCGGCAAAATAATTTGTATTTCTTATAGATGCAGACCTGCAAAAAGTTTCGTGTATCAAAATTTGACTTAATGCCGCTTGACGTCATGTGTTCTATGATAAATTGAGAAATTTTGATTGGTCCTTGAAATGTTACAAAAACTCCCTTCAGTCTTTTCATTATATACCTACAAAAGTATCAGGCAGTCTAAATTGGTTTGTACACATAAGACTAAGTATCAGGCAGTCTAAATTGGTTTGTACAAAAGTATCAGGCAGTCTAAATTTGATGTTGGTATTCTTATCTTTGCTTGGATTTTGTCATGGAGTATAAAATAGAACTAACTTGGTATAAAATAGAACTAACATTGTATAAATTAGAACTAACTTGGTATAAATTAGAACTAATGTGGTATAAATTAGAACTAATTTGTTATAAATTAGAACTAACTTGTTATAAATTAGAACTAATATGGTTAAAATTAGAACTAACGTGGTATAAAATAGAACCAACTTGTTATTACTTAGAACTAACACGGTATAAAATAGAACTAACGTGGTATAAATTAGAACTAACATGGTATAGAATAGAACTAACACTGTGCAGATTAGAACTAACACGCTACAGAATAGAACTAACCCTGTGCAGATTAGAACTAACACTCTACAGAATAGAACTAACACTGTGCAGATTAGAACTAACACGCTACAGAATAGAACTA